GAGGAACCTGCCGACACCTTGACTTCAGACTCTGACCTCCGCAACTGTGAGAGGATAGATTCCTATTGTTTGTAGCCACCTTGTTATGGTACTTTGTTCCGGCAGCCCCAGAAGCTAACACGCAGCTCCACCCTGTGCTCTGAGACTCTCCTGGTCCTCCGCTCACCTCTCCTCTACCCACCGCAGGCATTTCCACCTAAGACAATCCCTGTACTTTTAATTCCAATTTGGCATCTACTTTCCAGAAACCCAAACTAATAGTGCCCTCCCCACCAAAAAAAATGACCAATTCTTGGCTTTCAATCAAAATCTTCAGAATGTGCTTAAAAACAGCAAGAACTGCCAAGCCATTACCGTTACTCATTGCCAGGTACTGTGCTGAGTGGGAGGGGTATAAAATTAAGAAGACATAAGCTCTCCCCATGTGCTCTCTTACATCAGTGAATAGAATTTTGTCTTGAGGAATAAATCAGAGAAAAGAAACACTGTAATTTCAGTATAATGGCAAAAGTGTTATCCCTGAGATATGTAAAGTTTGTCATGGAAGTACACATGCTTAGCAGCAGGAAGGCTCCTAGCACTGTGTGCAGGGAGCAAACCCGAGGACCACTGCAGGAAGAGGTAAAACACGCACTGAGACTTGCGAATGGAAAGGAGGTGGTTAGACAGAGCACAGGAAGGGCATCCAAACAGTAGGAAGGTATGTACAAAGGCATATATATTCTTTACAGGACTAAAATTAAGTGGACCTTGAGTCTCCTCCACCCTAAGGAAGAAGAAAGGAGATAACATGGACAAAGAGCTTCTCAGAAGTGGGCTCTGAGTTGTGCTGGACCTGAAGATAGAATGTGGTTTTCCTGAACCTCCTCCACTCTTCAATCTTTGCCCACTTAGACTCGTTCCTTGTTTTGCATGGGATTTTGGAGACTGTCTAGAGTTGGGATTTAGACACACACAGATATGACCGATGGTCTGAGGAATCCACAGCAAAAAGTTTGCTTAAAATCACCAGTGAAGGGAAAATTTCTAAGTAAGGAAGAAATCTGATATGATCAATATTACTTAACAGTGGGGCTTGCGAAGTGGTTCTGCATAGAATATGGGAGAATTCCCAAACCTAGCCTAATCCAGCTCCCTGCAGGAGCCTCTGCTAAGGCTGTCTAGATAAGGCAAAAACCCACCAGTGCAAAGAAATGGGTCATGTCCAGCCAGGGCAACTTTGGAACAATGTCAGTCTCCTCACCCCCCACCCTCCAGGAAGAGCGAGCAATGTGGAGAGAGAGATCTGGAGCAACAAAAGGTCTGTTCCTGGCAGACTGAGCAGCTAACCCAAGGAACTTGGGAGTTCTGGAAGGAGCAATCCCCACGTAGCAGGACACGGACCATGGCAGCTGGTCCGTGCAGGCCCCAGCCGATGTAAGCATCCTGAAGCCGATGGTGATGGGGTTCCGCATGCAGCAGCAGAGAAGAGCGTAGAGACCAACCTTCCGTCAGCTCACGACATGGCCTAAGTGAGTTAAGGGAAGAAAAATTGGCCAAAGGCGAGCAGAATGATTCCCAAGAGGAACGATGAGAATGGCACCCAGAGCGGTGGGGCAGCAGGAATCAGCAGAGGCCTGACTGGATGTGATCAGTCCTGACTCACAGGGGCGCGCAGAGGGAGACCAGGGCTTCCTTCTCACCATTGCTTGCTTACCCATCTGCTTAGCTGACATCTCCATTTGGTGTCTTGCATTTCTCAATGACTAAGTTTGGCCTTTATAAAGTATTTCCTGGGCACCTGGGGGTTCCCACCATGACTTACTTTTTTCAGAATTTTAAATCATCCAGGAAACCATGTTTTATTAGGAATGTGTTGGGAAAGTAAAATTAAAAGTGTTCATATCTTTCCTTTCCACTTCTGTGGAAATTCTTTTTATTTCTGTTTCCAATTTCATGCTTTCCCAAGGGAGAAAGGAGTTAGGATGAATTTTACACCTTGAAGTTGGTGAGTTATAGCCATATCTGGACAGCCTTATTCAGCAAAGGATCTAGGACTGTTTATGTAGACAAAAGAAGAAAATGAAAAAGGGTTCCAGTTAATTTAAGACAATCAATTCCCTTAGCCTTTGATACTGTGTAAGTGATCACATAATTGGGACAGAGGACAGAGGTGGTTGCTTAAAGTACAAAAATGCCTACTGAATATTTTAAAAAGCAATACAGTAAGTCTGATCTTACCACTGAATTAAGGGGAGAGATGGCTGGCAGCTGAAAAACAATAGTCGGCTCTTTCTTTTTCTGCTGTTCCTCTGTTTCAGTTTAGTATGAAATGATTTCTTCTTTTCATGGGTAGGGAGAACAGTGGGAACAAAGTAAGGGTGCCTCAACCCCAAGCTATGATAACTCCGGTCTGTGTTACTCCCAAGCCATGGTTTCACTTTCCAAAATGTATCCCTTATTTCCCACCGATATAAATGACGGAGAGGAAGAGATCACGCTTAGTTAACAGCAAACAGTTAACCAAGGGAGCTCAACGACCGTACCCTCTGTGGAGAGCATGAGCAGAAGTGCCATTGCCGGGTAACCAAGTGAAGGGGGGACACTTTGGTATTTGAGCTTCCTGTAGAGATAAATAACTTAGGAAAAGATCAAACAGGGTCTTCAAATATATGGAGCTGTTTCTTTTAAAAAGGTCTCCTTAGAGGAGTCCCAAGTGTTTAAGAGATCATTCTTCTAATAAAGAAATTCAAATCTGGACAAAAGAGTTCTCTATGAATTCTCTTTATGTAAAAATCAATGATTTGAGTGTGGTAGTCATTTAGATAAAGGCCTACCTTTCTAGATAAATGCCTACCTTTCTAGATAAATAAAACATTTTTCTAACAAAAAATAAGATGTTCCAAAATTGTTAAAAGAAGCTTGATTATGTCCATGTCAATTTCCAAAACCAATATGGAAAGAATCCAGTACTATGAATAAGCCTCACTGAAAAGAGATTACTGAAATAAGTAAGAAAAGAATTTTATGGTTTTAAAAAATACCCCTTGCACTTATTTGGAAGGTGTTTGGAAGCAAAAGTTTCAGTTTCTTTAAATACACACACACACACACACACACACACACACACACACAATGTTTGAATAATCTAATGCAAACTATATTACCAGATATTTTAACGATTGTCCAGCATTTTATCGAGACCATCTATGGTGCTGCAGCAGCAGTTGCCACTACAACACTGACAGTGTATCTGTGGAGCAGGGGGAGAGTAAGAGAGGGAAGGATTTTGAGAAAAGTGGATTAAGTGACAAAAAGAAAGAATGACATCAAGGGAAAGGGCAGCAGATAGGGTAGCAAAATGGTAGAGAGGGACAGGAAGATTGAAAAAGGGAGCCATCTCAGTGAATTTTGTTACTTTACTGGGGAAAGAAAAATTAGAATTGGCTAAAAAGGGATGAAATAGATACTGAACCACCAAAGGGCTATAGAAAGGGAATGGGGAAGCTCCCTACCAAGCCTGGCCTCTCTGCACCAAGTGGACACTGCACTCCGCTCTGAGCAAACTGTAGGCAGAAGAATCTTAAATATTCATGTACAGTCAGGTTCTTGTATGTTATCCAAGTTTATTCTCCCCTGGGCTGTTCCTAGACACTTACGAATTTCTCCCTGGCAATCAGAGTAAGCCAGGGTCGCATAGATCACTGACAAACCAAGGCAATCAGCAAGAACCTTAAAAAAAGATGAAAAGATACCAGGTGCAGATGCTCTCCTGGGAGGACAGCTCTGTCTCAGTGTCCTCTGAGGTGGTCTCCTGGGAGGACAGTTCTCTGTCTCCGTGTCCTCTGAGGCGGTTTCCTGGGAGGACAGCTCTGTCTTGGGGTCCTCTGAGGCAGTCTCCTGGGAGGACAGTTCTCTGTCTCCGTGTCCTCTGAGGCAGTCTTCTGGGAGGACAGCTCTCTGTCTCAGGGTCCTCTGAAGAGTTCTCCTGGGTGGACACCTCTGTCTTGGTGTTCTCTGAGGTGGTCTCCTCCAACCTTAACAGGCATGGGAGTCCCCTTGGGGATTTTGTGCAAGTACAGATGCAGATTCAGAAGAGCTGGGAGGAAACAGAAATTCTGCACTGTGACAAGTCCCTTGGTGCCAGGGCTGCTGGTCCTCAGACTGGGATGGGAGCTAGAGAGCGCCCAGGTGAACCCTGGGTGAGTCAGGGCAGGACAGAGAGAGCCCAGAAACACATTCTCCCTTGCAGGCACACACGGAGAAAAGGCAGGAAGCAACCTACTTTCTTTGTTCACTTATTACTGTTAACTTTGATTCCTAAAGTTACGGCAGTTTCCCTTGAGGACATTCAGGCAGGCGGAATTCTCACAGGAATGTGGACGCTAAGTGACGCCAGCTGTGAGTGAGCATGGTGAGGGATGTGGAGCTCCAAGACCCCAGGAGGTCTGACATACCCCATTAGCTGGGCACCATGCTGGCCCCGTAGAACTTCTTCTGCCTTTCTTCTAACCTAATCCTTCCCTCCATGGAGGAAACAATAACTGTCTCTGAATTGTGTCAGCCTGAATAACAAGGGCATGTTGGCAAGCTTGGGTAGTTGAAGCAGAAATACTGAGAAAGTGCCAAACACCAGACTTCAAGATGGAAGCTTGTGGTTTGATTCTGATTTCTTTACCCACTGTGAAGATGTTCCTGATAGAGAAGCTTCCTCAGAGCTCCTTATGTGGGTGGGTGAGGCAGAAGGTGGGGTGCTTGCACCCTCCTATACAAAGTGGAGGCACTAAGGAGAAACTGCAGCCCCACGAGAAGAGTTTGAATTAATAGTCCAATCCCAGTTGGAGTGGTTTCATCTTTATCTCCTTTGATAGAAATTGTGATGCAGTGTGGCTGACCTGGGAGGCAGCTCCCTACATGTGCATGTTTCCTGGCTGACACACACTCCAGCCAGTGCCTGAGGGCCAGGGTGGTGAGTGTCAGTGGGAGGGGTCACCAGGTTTCACTTCCTTGCTGGTTGAAGACTCACAGCCACAGCCGGCTTCTCTCTCAGAGGAGAGTGTGAGGAGCAGGAAGCCCTTTTCTCTCTGCCTCCTCCCCACAGCACCTGGCAGGGGCTTAGCAGACTTGAGGAGCGCGAATGGGCAGAGCAGAATCTGTGGAAGGGAAGATGAGAGCCCAAGATCCTTCAGATCTGTGGAGCAGATCAGATGGAGAAACTGAACCACTCCAGGATTTGGGGTAAGAGAGCCGATACCCTTTTCAAAGTGCTTGTTGGGTGAACATCGGCTCCCCGCGCCACCCCAGTGCTCACTCTGCCGAGTGATTTATCTTTAGTCCTCTGCCACCCCGATCTTCTATCCTTTCCACTTTACTCATGTCTGTTAGTTATCTTCCTGCTTGGGGCCAACTGCATTGTTGTACAAGCATATATTATTTTTCCAGATGTGAAAACAGGTAGGTGGAGAAAATAGGACACAAATCAAATGCTGGACATGCTTTGAGATTAAGACTATACATGAGTTGTGTTGCTTAATATTGATCTGGTTTATAAATAAATGTGCTTTTAAAAAGTTTCGAGCCCTAAGCTACTGACAGTAAGAGAGCAGCACTGCTGGTAAGACAAACAGAAACCCACTCTATTGTATGGAAGAGGAACTTTTTCAAAAGAGAAAAAATGAGGAAGTGCCTTGCAGTAATGTCCGTATGTATTTCTTTCTCCTGAAACTGCCTGTGTGAGCTCTTGCAGGTATGCACGTATGCAGGACAAGTTTGAGCCTTTTAAGTATTAACAAGTCAGGAAGAGGATAAAATTTCTGCCTCAAACAGGGTATAAGTTTAGGTAGGTGGAGTCTTTAAGAAGAGAACAGACAGGACGACTCGTCAGAAGACTCGATGAAAGGAGGGAAGGAGTGGGGGATTTCCTAGAGAAACTGAACCTCTGCCCTAAAGCACCCAGAATATCCCAATGAGACTGGTTTCAACATCTGTGCCTCACCACAGGCAGGACCCGCATCTTCCGTCTGAATAACCAGCACGAACCTTCACTATGACCCAGTGACAGAGGAACTGTTATCATCTCCATCTTTCAAAGGAAGAAAATGAATACCGAAGGGTTGAATAACCTGCCTATGTCACACATCAGGAAATGGGAAAGCTGGGATCACAATCCACCAAAGCCCATGTTTTTAACCAGAGAAAAACTGAAATAGGGATGAAGCTCTGCATTAAGACTGCAGAGATTGTATCTTTTTGTGTCCTATTACGGTAAAAGTTCTCAGTAAGTACAGTCTTTAGATTTTAAAATTGAGGCCTCAGAATTGAATTCTACCTTCATAAGGTAAATCAGATACAACAGCTATAATTTTCTATAAAGTAAACTCCTTTATCAGGAATTCAGAGTTCCAGGGTATCACTTCTAGATTGAATCCCCAGAGGGAAAAGGTGGAATGCCCCTGAGCATCCAGAATGGGTGTCACAAAGCCCAGGCACTACTGCTGAACCCTTGGGCTCTCACTTTGAGCCTTATTAAATTATTAAACTAAAATTCTTTATATGCTTATCAATATTCCTAGTCCACTATTGGTAAGAAGCCCCAAAGAAGGGAAATGACAAAGGAGCTGTTCAACTCTGGTCCTTTCATTAAATAACCCTAAGGCTGCGCCGTGTTGGCGCTCACTGGACCGACCGGCTGAGCTAGAGGTGCCTTCTCTCCACCACAGTCCAGGGCAGGGAGAGACACACACAACCCGCCAGGAGAGCACCACTGTGTCTTCCCTCCGTGTGCAAACAACTAGAAACACCCCTGCGTGGTATGTTTAATGTCCAGACTTCTCTATTTCAGGTATAGAAATGTGTTAAACATTTGAAGATGGTTTGTAATGACAGGCAAGCTGCATTTATCTGGGCAAATTGCTCCATGTAGTTGTGGTTCTCAAACTTGGCTGTGCCCTAGAATCACCCAAGGAGTTTTAAGAAATCCCCTCCCAGGCCCTATGCCAGACAATGACCTTAGGATCTTAAGGGGTGAGCACTTCCTTTTTAAACTGTCTAAGTGATTCCAGAGTGAGGTCCTGGTTAACAGTCACTGCCCAGAATACAAATCCATCAGAAGAGCTGAATAAATGTAGTTTTATTTTTCATTTGTTGGGCATACATACTTGAGTCTTAAAGCCTCTAATAAATGTAGATGTTTGTTGGTTTCGAAGCCTTGTGTTTCACAGGTTTATTGAGGTCTATTTTGCACATTGTAAAACTCACCATTTTCAAATACACAGTCCAGTAATTTTTAGTGACTTTGAAGAGTGGTACAATCATCACCATAAATCAACCTCAGAATATTTTCATGCCCTGGATAAGAACCCTCAGGAGCGTGGTTTATTAAATACCCTCAGTGGTGTGCTGATAAACCTCCTGGGTGAGAGGCAGCCCTGACTTCTTTAGTCCACCTATTTCACTGCTGTGGACACTCCTACCACAGGCAATTTCAAGCTGCCAAGGGTTTAACCAGCTTGGAAAATTCCTGAAAATTTAATAATGAACTTGAGCCAGTACTTGTTCCTCCAGGACATCACTGATATACCTTATATATACGTATAAAATAATGTCTAAGAAAGGTCATAATATCTGAGAAAACTTGAAAATGACCTACGGCTCCTGGAAGAATTTTGAATACACATGAAACTCTATGTTACTGGTTGCCTATGATCTGTACCAAAGCTTCTAATTAATTTGGTTTTAAAAAGCACCATAAAAACAAAATGATATAATGTAGTTGATAGACAAAAGGTGACTAATTTTAGTGGCTTAATTTTTTAGTTATTTTTAATATGTTATTTGACTAGTTAGGTAGATTCTTATGTTTTTTATTTTTGATAGATACAAACACATAATGTGGTGGTTAAATTAGACAGACCCCATCCATCTTTGTTCTTTAGTCCTTAGTTTTCTTCAGGCTCTGGAATATGTAAGCTCTGAAAATTAAACCCTGACCCAGGTTATTAAATCCATAACTTGCCTTTCAGGGATGCACATGACTTGTAGAGAGTACAGGTTTATTCTTTTCCAAAGTGTCAAAATCAAGCAACTCAGATACATTTCTGTGTGTCATTTATAGAGTATCAGTCTAAAAATATTTCTCTCTCATCCTAAATGTATTAATCTGTCCAAAGCAAAGGAGAAATAAACCCATCTGCAATCAGTGCTCAGCTTTGATTCTACTTGGGTGCATGGGACTGGGGGAGGGGGCTGGCAGTGAGGGAGGATAGGTGTGGAGAATGAGAACGGTGGGTGGGTGAGAAGCAGGAGGTGGGCTGGGGACAGTCAGGCTGTTGGTGTCGCTTCCAAAATGAAGCAATGGGGAAATGAAACAAGTAATGGATATGGAGACATCACCTAAGTAACAAACTAGTATAGAATTGCTAGTCAATTAATAATTTAAAATTCCAGCAATTTTTTGGATTATAACAAAAGGTCTTAACAAGACAATGTAGGAACAGTATAATTGTATAGTTGCTAAACGTATAAAGTTTATAAAGGTTTATGCTTTCAGCAACTAAATAACGATTGATGCAAAAAGGATACTATAAACTAAAAATATTTTAAGGTGTTTCTAAATTAAATATTCAGAGTTATACATGCTAGTCAGACAAATTCCTTCAAGTGAGGAACCTATTAAATATTCCTTTTTTCCAATATATTCTCCCAAATCTTAAATTTTATAATAAAGTGTCAGTGTTGGCTGTGTTGGCTAGAGTCAACTAAATTTCTAAAGCCAGAGTCAAACTAGATTCTAAATTCTGGATATTTAAATAAGTAAATAAATAAGCCTCTCTAATAACTCTACCCCTTCACATATAAGAGAAGGTTGGACTAGGTCAGGAATCAGCAAGGTTTTTTTGTAAAGAGCCAGGTAATAAATATTTAGGCTTTTCAGGCTTTATGATTTCTGCTGTAACTACATTGTCATGGGAAAACAGCCACAGATAACCCAGAAATAAATGACCGTGACGGTGTTTGAACAAAATGTTGTTTTGGGACAATGAAACTTGAATTTCATAATTTTCATAAAATATTCTTTTTTTTCCCCAACCATTTAACAATATAAATCCATCCTTGGCTCTCAGTCCGTACAAAAATATGTACCCTGGCAAAAATTGTCCCTGAGGTGGTGATTTGCTGACCCAGGGAATAAATGTTAATAACCAAAATGAGTTCTTATATGAGGCAGGCATTTTGTATGTGTTAGCTCTGGTCTTCAAAAGGTATCATCATTCCAATTTTACCTACGAGGAGGCTCATTAGCAGGGAAATCAGGTTGTCTGATGTCCCAGAGAATCTGGGTCCAAAGCCCATGCTCATTCCACCGAACCAGGTTGCTTTCCTGTTGTGATGGTCATTCACAGACCACCTATTAAGTGCCAGCACCCTGCTGTTTACATCATTACATCATGAAGTCTTCACAATAACACTTTCAATATGGTATGATTATACTCGTTTCACAGATATGAGGGTGACTTCAAATAAATTAACTGTCCCAGTCACAAACATCCTAAGTTTAGCTCATAGTGGTACAGCCAGGAGATGTGCTTAGCAGTTTACTCCAAAGTTGATCAAAGAAAATATACATTAGAATAATGGTAATTGGTAATTATGGTGTGTTCACCACGTACCAGGCACTATTTTAGGCCCTTTGCATATCTGACTTACTGAACTTCACAAATCATTGTGAGGTAGACACTATCATGAACTGATCCCCATTTACAAATGAGAAAAGTGAAGGGCAGAGCCCATGCCCAAGGTTCCATGCTCATAAACCTTCAAATCCAGGAGGTTTGCTCCCACATGCTTGTCCACTACTGATACAGCTTCCTAATCTCCATCAAACTTCTCTTTTATTATTATATTAACACTATTTATTAATGTTAGTGTAAACTAAGAAAGAGAAAGAAAGCTTTGTGATACCATGACTGGTGCATTTTACCTGGCAAGGTAAATGTCACAAATGTCTTCCGATTTGTTTTATTTGGCTTTATCACTATACGTTTCTAAAGTTGCTTGTGTTTCATGTTATTCCTTGCCAGGTGAAGGAATAAGAGATTATTCTTTCACATTCTTCACATAATACACATGCACATGAACACAGAGCCAGGCCAATATCCTAATTAGTCAGAACTTCATTGAATTTGGTGTAGATTCCATTTTGGTGGGGGCAGACAAGTTGAATAGGCTAAGGAAAGTGT